ATGGATGAGGGTTGGCAGCACAGCCTGTTTCTCACACAATTATATTGACACCTAAACATTGAGGGATACATCAGGCAGCAGTTAAGGCACATTTCAGATACAAGCACCTTTGTGAGATCCACGAGCCTAAATTCTCATTGGGGTATGCAATCAGAAGTGGCCGTCGTTTCCTGCCAATAAAAAACGGGGGCTATAAAAAATATTCTGACTTCAAAATTGTTAATGCAGTCCATTAACCAGCTCTGTACTTCCCAGGGATTCAGCAAGTGCTCCAGCATTTACTTTCAAATTAAGGAAGGATTTTAACACACTCCCTTTAAGGTGCTGGTGCTGAAAATGCAATACATAAAGGCACCTTTATACCCAACACAAACCAGACAGGCTGCAAGGCCAGCAGAGCAGCAGAGCAAGGCCTGGGACTGTGCCTTGAACCTTGCCCAACATCCTCCATGCTCTTGTTGCAGTGTTCTTTTGGGAAACAGAGCAAGACTAACACTAATGGGAGAAGATAAAGAGTACCTTCTTTTCTGCAACACTTATTCAAGAGAAATTGCCTCGAAAATAAAAAAAATAAATAAAAAAAAAAAGAGATTTAATTCCTATGTTTAAACACATGGGATTCAAGACTTTACCTCTACTCTTAGATTGATCTCACCACCACACTCCTGAAATGCAACATGCGAGACAGCATGCCACTAAACAGAGGACTAGAAATCATGCTCATTTTCCTCAATCCCACAAAAAATAGGTTATTTGGCTTACCTAGTCTTCTTGGTTCCCAAATTATTTCAGATTGACCAGGAAGTGTCTAAGCTTAGCCAGCTGAGCTTGGAAGATCCTGTAAGTGAAAGCTTTTGGACCACAATGGAAAAGCTTTTGCAGAATTTCTTTAAAAACTTATAAAATTCTCTTCTTGGTTAAAGAAATCTTAATGCCAGTATATACAACAGATTGGTTATCCACACTTGTCCAAACTAAATCATAGGTTTATTTATCATAGGACTTATTATAATCTTCTAGTATGTTATAATCAAAGTACAGTAACATCATATTTTTGTGATAAATGCGTGCACACAGCAGAGCAAAATCTCTGACAACAGCAGAAAATGAAGCAAGTTTCCTAAGTATTGTTTTCCAGATCTTTCAGCTGTTATCCCTCCTCTCTTACCCTACTTTCAGGGGAGCAAGACTATCTTTGATTTCTCCTGAAAAAATAAATTAATAATAACAGTAAATTGCATCAGAGCTAGGCCTCTGTTTCCCTGGATCAGAAGCACACCTCAACACAAATGGAGACCAGCAGCTGCCCTAATCATCCTGAGGAAGGGAGACACTGTCTTAACCGCAATTATTGCAAGTCCTTACATCACAATAAAAGATGCTCTGAAGCACTGGTGCAAGAACCCAGGCTCACACTGTGAGCTGACTGAAGGGGTTTTATGTTAAAAATACAAAAGGCCCCAAAAATCTTCCCAATGTATTTACTAAAGGGCCCTGCAGCTCTTTTTTAGACCTCGAGAGAGTGCATGGCAGAAGATGTGCACACGTTCCTCAGGAGGTCAAGTAACACTCTTTTATCGGCAACTTTAGAAAATAAAGGAACTTGGCAAAAGTTTGAAGGGCAACACTCAACCAAAGCATTTCACAAAGCATTGATTTAGCACCTGCTACCCCGCACATCTTCGCAAAATCCGACCCATCCAGCTCTAAGTTACCCAAATAACAAGGCAACCCACTGGGGTGCGCAAAGAAAATAAAAGTTGTGGGAGGTTTGAAACTACAGGTTTTCCTAACCTGCCTCAGTTTTTACATGACGGAGCACGTAAAGAGGGATTTTGTTAAATCACTAAAGAAAAGATGTCGTGGGAAAGAGCTTCTCAACAGCAAAACACTTATTAAAAATGATGTCTTACAAAAAACTGTACAAGTTTAGTCACTGATGAAGTGGACGCTTTGCGCGGAATAAAAGAAAAAAAAAAAAGGGATCACAGGAGAAGGTTACAGCAATAGTGAAATTCATTCACTGGATGTCTCGTGGGCAAGCCAGTGCAACAAATAAATTGGAGCCAGAAGTGCAAAAAGTGCTACAAGACGTCAATGTGGTTAATTTTGTAACAACAAGAGCTTTCCATCTTAGAATCTTTACAATACTTTGGAAACAGATGAGGAGTGATCACGGATGTCTTTTGTACCACAGAGGTTCACTCGTTATAGCATGGCAAAGTGCCTAAGAATGCTGTCAAACTTACATTTTTCTTCCACAGAAAGACAAGCAATTGTTCCAAATTTCCTGACCTTTTCTCTGATGAAAAGGGCCTGTCAGTACTATGCTAATATTTTGGAAAAATGAAATCATTTAATGTGCCCCTTCAAGATAAAGATGACGTTTTAACAATGAGAAAGAAAATTTTTTTCTTTTTAAAGAAAAAATCTGCACGGAGGGCGCATTTTGAAAACGGGGCTGAAAATGTTCCCCTCGTCGTGCGACACAAAGAGTCAAGACCTTTCAGTTAGTTTGCAGGAACAACTGACTGACATTGGGGAAGTTGGAAACCTCCTGGCTGAGTATTAACACAGCCCTCTGCGTAACTATAGAGGGCAGGATGGAAAAACGAGCATCATGACTCACTGGGCACAGTCAGCAACAGACTTCTTCCACTTGGATCTGTGTCTCTTTGTGAGGTGTCTTTTCCAACAGTGACAGACATTAAAACCAAGTATCAAAATAAACTGAACCCAGAACCAAATCACTGAATCTCTGTGCCACACAGCGTCAAAACTAAATTTCCAAAACCAACAAAGTGTATTTATTAATTTACTGAGAACATCAAAATATTTTGTAACGCTAATAAAAACATTTTTAAATTGTTTATCTAATCTATAGCTCACCTTTTTTTTTCACTTTCATCATGTGCTCTATTAGCGGAGAAGGAAGTTGTGGATGCCCCATCCCTGGAAGTGTTCCAGGTCAGGTTGGACAGGGTAGCTTTGAGCAAACTGCTCTAGTGAAAGATGTCCCTTTAAAGGTGTCTCGAACCATTGTGTGGCTGAGATTCTACTCCAAAAACCTGATCCATTGCTGGAATACTTATTAGTATTCTGACACCTGCTACTTAATTCTGACACCCGCTACTTTTAACATTAACATAACTGTACGATCTCTTCAGTTCTGCCTCAAGGTTAAGACATCCTGTGTTGGGATCGTGCAAAACCTATCTAACTGCAGTCTGGCCTGCTGCAAAAATAAAATATCCAGCACAAAAGCCCAGGCTTGAATTCCAAGAAATTAAAAAAAAGAAAAGGAAAAAAAAAAACAAACAAACAAACAAAAAAAAAACACCTAACACCTAAGCCTCATCAGAAAAAAAGCTGCTTAATTCAGGAGCACTGTTGAGATCCAAAATTACTCTTTTTTTTGTTTAATCGACTCCCTTTCATTCTTTCCACCTCTCTACCCCAGTGGACACCATGTTAGACACCAAAGGAACTTCTAAGCTTTTCACCAGGCCTGATGATTCTGGCACAACACAAAAGAGCAGGAATTCAGGTACTGTCATCCAGCACTGACATTAACCCACTTCTGTTCTGAAGGAGCCGAGGCACAACAGTGAGCTTGGAAGAACACGCAGTTACTCAAGAAACCTAGAAAGCTTAAAATGTAGATTTATTAAGCATTAGGAAGCTTATTAACTTAAAAACCAAACCACATAGTACAAAAGGTTTGTTATCTGTGCTCAATGTGGAACAAGTTTCAAAATATATATTTTTAAAATTTGTCCAGTCAATACACAATCCTTTTAAAAAACTGTTTATCTGTCTGTACCCCCATTACATTTATAAATACATGATTTACACAGCACCTCATGTGTAAAAATTAAAACTCCTTACAAATATCTACATATATTGCATACATATAAAACATTCATAGGAGTACTTCATTAAATTTGGGTTTAATAGTCCATTTCCACTGCAGCAAAATTCATATAAATCTGTGTATTCTTCAAAAAATGTCTCTAAAAATTAGCATATTTGTAGCCATCCGTAACTCCTTTAAAGCATCATTTAGAAAGGAAATTTGATATGAACATATCCATGATATTCAGCAGGTAAGACAGTTATATGAAGGTTAAATATGATTAATAACTGAACCCTAAGTAGCAGTTAAGGCAGGGGTGAAAGGAATTAGTAAGAAAGATTACTTCACATGGCAGATAAAGTGACAAAATGCAATAAATACACATATTCCTCGATGTAAACCACTCTGGCTCCCACTCACAAGTCAGGAGTGTCTGTTTTTCTGACATTGCTCATTTTAAAAATTAAAATCTGGCCTTTTGTAAGTAAAGCATTACTGAGATGTGGCTCTCTGGTACCATCTGGATTTGCTTTAACTGCTCAGAACTGAGTATTAATTCTGCAGTGCGGGTTTAAGACTTCCATGTGACCCCCCCCATTTATGGGTAATGACTGTCATGTGGAATCACACACACTCAGAATTCCGTCATCTCAGTTTCATCACTGCCTTCTGGTAACTACTGGACTTCTTGTTAGTAAGTAATATTAGAGAATGTTACTGAAAACTGTTATTTCAGATACCAGAACTGTATGGAGATCAGTCCCTCCTGGGTCGTGGAGACTACACGTGGCATAGATGCAGACAAAAGGCATGAGAAATGCAAAACAAACTTTAATAGTGATGGCATTCTGGCTCAAACCTATTTATTTTGCATTACGGTGCACCTTTGGGAATCGAACATTCAAACTGCTAAGAAAAACCCCGTTATCTCTGCATACTCGGGTTTCCACCTCACACCACAATTCGACACAGCGTCTGCAGTCCGACACTGAGCAGAACCACATCAAGCTGCGACCTGCAGCCCCAAAAAAAACCCCTCCTGCAGGTGTGACATCAGCCTCAAAGTGTCCTACGGCACGTGACCCGCTGCTGTGCACAGCTGCCTCGCCCTCAGAGCGCAGACACTCCGCACCTCCCACCCAGCTCCCAGAGCTGTAGCTCAGGGCACAAATTCGTTCCACAAGTCCCCCCTGGAGCTCAGCCTTCAGACGCTGCTGTCTTGCAGCAGTGGTTCAACGTCCTCTCCGTTACTTTGGTCTAGGTTGCTGCTGCTCAGACTGCTGCCGAAGCTGTTGCTGTGTTTTTTGGTACCGCTAGCTTTGCTGTTCTCGGGAATGAATAAGGCGACGAGGAGAGCCAGGAGAACGACGCACGCTCCAACCAGGAAGGGCGGACCAGGAACGATGGCTCTCTGTGGCAAAACAAGCATATTAAAGAATTTGTGAAGTTTCAGACATTGAGTTCTGCATTACGAATTACACCACGAAGGCAGGAGATCGCGGGCAATGCATTTATGATGGCTGGGAAGTTTTTGCAAACAGGTTCAACACAAATTTTCTGCATCCACAATGCCCATGAATTCCTCACCTGATCTTGCACACTGATCTAAAAACCAGAAACACACAAAACTATCAGTTGGTAATATGATTGCCTAGCAGATGAAACAGATGTTGACTGATGCTTCTTTGTAATTTCTTTTCACTTTAGGCACCATGCCTGTTAAATCAGCAAGACTCCTCTGAAGATTACTGCAATAAGGTATCAACATGCAGAAGTACAAATACTCAACAGATCCTGAAATTCACTTTTCAATGGCTGACATACTTTAGAACCAAGTTATCCAAATAAACAAGTATCCCCAGAAACTAATACATGAGTGAGGAAAGTAACAGCAGGCTGTGCACTACAGACCATTCTCACCACAGAGAAAGGCTGTGGGCATGTATGATAACGTGGTATTTCTCCTCTCTCGCTTCTATGCCGTTTATTTTAGAATTTAAACCACAACTTATCCACATTTCATAACCACAACTAAAAGCAAGCACCAGAAAGTTTGTAAGACAAATTTTAAATCAGCCAAGTTTGATGACAAACTTCTACAAAAGAAAGGGTCAGCAATGCAGCTTTTTTTTTTTTTTTTAATCTGAAACAATTTTCTGCATCCAAGTCAATTAAATAAAAATCAGAATATGAAACTTGTCAACCCAGTCTACTTTTACTCCACTAAATGAAATGTAGGAAGCCACTAGTCTAATATGGAGGAGGAAAGTAGCTGCAGTTGAGCACAGAGAAATAAGATATTTCCCTTCCTTCAACTCCTGTTACAATCAGAGCCTTGAATTTTCAGTTAATGGTCTCTACATGTACAGAATATAACCACATCAACAGACCTTATATTAATGGCATTACCTAAATCTTCAAGAGGTGCTATGCACACATGTACTTAAAGATATGAGAAACTTCCATAAATTATTACCCTAATTTGCTAATTTATCTGAGCAGCTTTTGAATATTACACTGCTGTGGGTAAGAATCTTTGGAAAGTAGATCTTTCCTCATTGCATTGCCAAGTGTTATTATTACTCTCCAAACACAGCCTACAACTGCACTGTTACCTCCAGTAAATTTACATCAAAAGTTCCCTGCTTCTGCTACGATACTGAAACCAATCCTGCTACTATTATAAATCTAAGTATTTACTATCACATTTAAATTATGAGCTACCTTAATGGTTTAATAAATCTGAGAGGTGAGAATTAAGTAGTTCAGGAGTAAGATACCAAGATTTTAAATCAACCAGAAGAGACAGATTCCTACCCTCGTGAGTTACACGCTGCAAACTGCACACCAGATTCTGAGCTTACCTTGTCACTGGGAGCTTGCACTGCTTTTTTTCCAGAAGTATGATCAGGTAGTAATTCATTCAGTTCCACGTGAAAGAGAAAGAAAATAAAGCCATACAGTGCTGGTCCCAGGCCATTGCACAGTCCTCTTATTCCAGTTATTATTCCTTGGACAACACCTAATGAATTTAAAAAAAAAAAAAAAAAAAAGTAGGATTTTACATTTTTTTAAATCAAGTAAGAAACACTCAGAGCCAAGAGCTCTGAGTGCATTCTAATGGCTGTTTCAAAATAAGCTCAATTCATAATTACTTATGCATTCTATGATCTAAAGGAATACATTGAAGACAACTCTGCTGGATTAAAATAATCCTCTGCATAACCATAGTTCTGTCACTTAACTTGCAGGCTACTGGAAGCAATAACAGAGACGAAATTTATGTATAGGTTTCATTTTATATTAGAGTTCATCCACTCTCTCCCAAAGCCTACAGTGATGACAGGAGAGCTCAGGTGTGGTACCCATTCAATTTATTTTCAAGTGAAATTTAAAGTAATGTACCTACCTGTTAAGGATCACAACTGACAAAATATGCACAAACTGCGACCAGGATTCGGGGCAGTAAATTCAAGTGTACTGCAGTAAATTCACAATACTTGACTGGCTGCAGTTTTACACTGGATTGTTTTAAAAGCTTGATTAATCAAAGTGCTGTAGGTATACTTCTGTTTCAACTTCAGTGATTTTAACAACAGTGCAAAAACTTTTCTGATGATGTTACATATGAAGACACTACAGATTGCCATTTTTACTACACTAATAAGTCTGTGTATCTGCTGCCTCCTTAAGGCAGTAAGTTGTAAAACGAAAGCAAAAGAAACATTCCGAAACGACAGCTATCCAAGTTTTTACTTCCTAGGCTGACATGCAAGTTTAAAATCCTCATGCCACCAGGTGGCGAAACCTCACCCCCGGAACCACTGAAAGCCTCAGCTATTGACACCAGCTCCCTCTCTGTGAAATGAAGGTTCGGAGGCTTGTGTCAGCTAAACTGAACTATTCATTCCCTGATATAAACAGAAAACAAATCTTTAAAAATCTTTCAGATGTCTCTATCAGAAAAAAAAAAAAAAAAAAAAAAAGGGTGGGGAGAGGGGAGTAATTTAAAAATTCCATGTAAAATACTGTCTTTTGCACCTTTCAAACCCAACAGAAATCTGCCTTCTGGAACAGAACCTGCTTGGTACCACTCATACCAACTGCACTGACTTAGCTTCAAGCTGTATGATGTTAAAGCAAGACTGAAACTTACAATGTACATATACAGGATATTCTTCTATGAGAACACTGAATTTATATATACACCAGTGATGACTTTATTTCAAGTGAAGAAGTTCTTTCTGACTCTACGTTCCTCTTCACATCAATAAATTTTCTGTCTTCTCAGATCAACTAGTTACTTTGGTTTCCTTTTTTTATTCCTAGAGATCTGAAGTGTTATATTAAACAGGGACAACTTTTCCACAAAGAATAAGGCTTCTTGCATACACTTATTTTAATCAGGTAAAATGTGTTTTTAGTTTCTATTTTAAAGGCAGTATGGTTACATTAATCCTCACTGTCTACTAAGAGAATATTGTTTGTAATAAAGAAAGGAAAGACATAAAAGAGAAAAAGGTTTTGTTGCTTTTTTAGTACTTTTAAAGAAAGCTAAAAAAACCAGCTGGTCAGACATGAACTATGTACTTTGCAACGCAAAATCCCTCTCTACGTAGCTTGGCAAACTTCCACAACTACTACCAAGTAAAAATATTACTCACCAAGATAACTGAAAGTACAGCTAGGTAACTCTTCTGCTTCCTCAACAGAAAAAGAAATATGATGCCTAAACAGGAATTCATTCAATACTCACCCTGTTGATCTGCCTCTGCATTTTGTGAAACCAGAGCACTGATTGCTGGGAACGTGATGCTTGACATCGCTGCTATAGCTCCTGCTGCCCACATCATCCTGTGTTAAGTGCATAATTTGAATTAGAAATGAGACTGTAATTACTGCCCACACCCCCAAAAGGACCACTAGGGCGCCCTTATTTAAGGATTAATGTCATTTCAAAATGTTCTTATTAAAATACCTAAGGACTAGAAATTATGTGGTTAGAACCCTCTTCCTGCTCCCCTCCCATAAATTATCCCGAAGCTGTTAGAACAGAATACCACTGGATTTGCTTCTGCACTAGCTATTACAGCAGAGAAAAGGAGAGGAAGGGGAGGGAAATGAGCTTTCCCTCTCCAAACACTGCACAAACAAACACTTCCCCAAGGGTGTCTCAGTGAGGCTCCTATAACTTATTAGGAAGTGCTCTGATAAAGGAACAGCATTCACTGCTGTCAGTAGGACAAACCTGGTAAAGAAGAAGCTGTTCTAGCTTATGGTTCTAGCTGTCTTTACTTACAGACAGTTGCTCCTAAAAAAGAAGCTCTAGATAGCTTCCAAGACCAAATATAATTATAGTAAATACAGTATGTTAAAAAAACAGAATAAAGAACAGGTCCAGGACCTAATGGAATTACAAGAGAGAACATGCTACTAATTGGCATTTAAGAAGAAGTTTTAACCACATTCCTAGATATATAAAAACCAAAGTGGTGCAAAGACTCTCTTTTCAAAAGGGCTGTTAGTGCACCACAGGCATGGAAAATTCGATCATTACTACATATGCAAAATACAGACCAAATTTTGGTAGTGTAAAGAAAATGAGAATGCCTAGTCCACAGAACTTTTAAACACTCATGACCACAGAATTAAATTGCTGCATTTCCTGGGAAAAAACTCTCTGTTCCTTAACAGGCACATACCTATGAAAACATGAACTTACCAAGACTGAGATCCAAAACCATACCAAGCCAGCTGAAAGATTTGAAACCCAAGGCCAAGGAGAACTGTGTTTTTGTTCCCTATGGACCTCATCAAGATACTGAGAAACACAGTCTGCAAGAGAAATCAGTTCACCCAAAAGTTGTTTTAAAAAGCCAGATTGTTAAAGTAATTTCTGCTACACAAAGTAATTCAGAAGATCTTTCAACTGATGACAAAATTCATATTATTTGTGCTCTTATTTCCCTTGTATTAAGTCCAAACACGGATGAGTCATATCAGTACTAGTGTACAAATACTCTTAACCCTAAAGGGGTTTCTACCTCAGGACATCAAGAAGCATATGTATTGCCTTCTCCACAAATATTAGATCTTAGTGTCTATTTCTGCTGTAAACAGGCTTTCATTTCCACCTCTACAATGCTGCTTCATTATACACAAGAAAGTTCCACAAAATAAAAGCTGGTACCAAGTTAAGACAGTAGAGGTTGGACATGAGTTGAATTTACCAATATCTACAAATAGAACAGAAAAAAAGGCTGTTAGCTCAGAAAAAAAAAAAATCAAACTTTTTCAGTCAGGTGAATTATTATCCAAATTTACAACTAAAACCAACAAGGAAATCCTGCTGCTTTTTCAAGTTCATCACATGCACAGAAATTTGGCCAAGGCCAATTTCCTAGGCATCACTAACTACATAGTTAGTACTGACACAACTTTTCTTATTCACACATGGAAGCTAATCTCAAGGGAGGAGCAGTGTTTCTCAGCTGTTACAAGTGTTACTGCTGAGGGGGAAGGAGGTCTCAATTCAGATACAGCAGCAAGACACTCGTGGTAAGAAGCCGTCTGTTCCTAGAAAAGCAAGTCCATATGGACAACCTGACTCAGTTAACGGAGCACACGTTTCCATTTAACAGGAGAAACCCAGAAATGCATCAATTAAGACAGAGAAGAGGAACCAGGACTTGAGAGCAGAGTGCACTTCCTCTCTTGCTTTTTCCTAGCTTTCTTGATTCTCACTCTTAGACAAAGCTAGCTGGAATGCTAAATAGCAAAAATACAGTAATTCTATCTACATACGTTCAGTTCTTTCTGGATATGTCCAACATGCCAACACAAACGAGTATTTATGAAGCAAAGCTTATTCCAACAAGCTACACTCTTCAAAGAGTTCAAAAACACAGAGAGTTTCCTCATTTTAACACTGAAAATTATAAGCCAGAAGGGCAGCCATTTGAGAGGTTTTCAGCAAAAACACTCGTCTGCCTGAAGTACGACTGGCAAATGTCAGTGAATGTCACAGCACCAGAACAAACCACAAAACGAGAATTAGTACAATGGCCTGAATTGATAGTGAAGGCCACAACCGACGCCAGTAAAACTGGTAAACACTGATGAACGTGTTGTTTACATCAAAACAGTAAGACCTTCGCTCTGCTAAAGATGGCAGCAAGGATACAACATGCTGTGTGTGCCGTTCCTCTCCTTGTTATCAAAACAGGAGGGCAGACAGTACCCATAAAGACACCAAAGATCGTATCATAAAAACTCCTGATTTCCAAAAGATACAAAGGATCTGTTCAAAAAACAGCCCGCTGTTGCCAGCTAAGAGGTATGACAGCAACACACCAAAGCCTTACAGCTCCTCAGCCTCCAAGCTGAGCTTAAGCAAGTCTGGACAGACCAGGCCAATATTGGCACTGTTTGTATCCAAGTCTGATAACATGAGCTAACTGAATAGGTGCAAGCAGCATGACTTTTGCTTAAAATAACACATTTCCCTTTCAGAAAGCCTTGTATTAAGTAACCAACTTCCTGCATCATTTTAATAATTTTTAGTCAGACTTCCAGTGAGTTTACTGATCCAAGGTTAGCAAATTACAGTTTTATTTTGTGATGTCAAGACACTGCACTTCTAAGAAAAGCTGATAAAGAAAAGGAAATTTACACATAATATGTAATGAATACAACCTTTAGTCAACACACATTAGAATATGTAAAAAGTTTACAGACAAGCTTAAAGAAGTGCCTGCCCCAACACTGTTTGTGCTGTTTAATAAAGCACTATAAAGAACAAAGCTTACCTGAGCTATTATGGACAAAATGCCAACCACAGCTATAAACGCCGCAATGCTACCAGATCCGAAACCTATGATCTGCAGGGAAGCAGAAAATGCATGAAAAACAAATGCCAAACGCAATCCAGGACAATCACGAGCAGAGAGATATCATACTCAAAGAAAACACTGATCCCTGCTCATACTCTGAATCCACACAGGAAGTGTCCACTTCCGAGAATAATCCCTGACTGCTCGCCAAGACCACAGAAGGAAAAAAAAAAAAAAATAAAAAAGCCTTAAAAAAAGGAGACAGAGGAAGTCATGCATCCGGAAACTGGAGCTCTCTCTCCCTCCCATAAACACAACAGCTCTTCACCAGGCAAGACCTCACCTCAAGACCCAGAAACTGCTGCACTGAACGGGAGCAAAGGTCTGCTTAAGGTTAACACAGGCTTAAGCTGTTGTAGGGTTTATCATCAAGAGCCAAGTGTGATTCAGCTCTCTGCTTGGCAAAGCACCCTGCCTTTAGCTTTAAAGCTGTATTTTGCCAGAAAGCGGGTTTCTGAGAAGAGTCTTCAACAAGAAACAAGTCTTAGGGGATAATTATTTAAACATCCTTATGAGTATGTGAAGACGCCAACATTTTACCTGTCTCAAGTACAGAAAGAAACTGGAATACTGGCCGGCCTCAGGCAGGTAGGAGAGAAACACTGTAATGCAAATCGGGAGAACCGCAGAATCTTTTCTAACCTTTTTCAGAGACTGTAAAACAAAGTAACATAAAGCAAGCAGCAGGTCAGTGTAGTTTTTCTTAAATCCATTTTTACCCATGCATTTACCCATCCATTTTACTGTACCAAAACAAACAAAAAAAATCATACATGGAAACAGTTAAGGTGAATGTTAAGTTAAAAACAATCTCATTATATTAAGGTCTGCAGTATCTGATTCCTCTGCAAAGCTTCCAGTAGATTTTTGAAGCCACTGTTCAGTGCCAAATTATAATTATTCCCTGAAAACAGAATCATATGATATTTAAGGAAATTGATCTCCATAAAATGTTAGCAAATAACATAGCCTGCTTCTTTTCAAAAATCATTAGAGTATTTTTTCCTTGTGCAGTTCTTTTACCTGTTCACTCATGATAATAATTAATTTGAGAAACAAACACACTCTGGAAAAGAAATTCTGTAACTGCAGTCTTTCAAGCATGCCATTCCTCTCTCAGTATTCACAACCAGCTCCTAGCAGGATGCCTCTCATGAAGAACAATCACTCTTTCCTCTTTTTAAGATATCAAGGTGTAGCATAAACACAAATTGAATAAGTGAACAAGTTACTACAAAGACTGCACAGTAAGTTTTAGACATTTTTATATAAGCCTGTAGATAAATCAGGCTTTATAAATCCATTCCGTATTAGAAAGAAATCACATGTAACCAAAACTGGAAATAAAGAGAGATACTGCCAAAAGTACAAACATAAAGTGAATATGGAAAATCTTAAAATATCAACTTTTGTGGTGTGATAGTTCAACATTTCTCTTACAATAAAATAGAGTATATAAGTGGCAAAAGCACAGCGTTTTCCCCTGGGCTTTCATATGAAACATTATTTTCAAATCAAAAATCATTTAATGCATAAAGTTTGGCTTGATTTTGGTTTTTAAATGTATCTAGATCTTCTTGGGCAAGAACAGAGAAGCAAGATTATGGCGTACTGAGCAGTCAAGCTACCACTTAGATTAAAGATTTCCCAAAATTACAAAATACAATTAATCATTATTATTGTTATTATTATTTATTAATCACCAAATATTTAGTAATTACTTAATTGGAGCGCATCTTACAGCGAAAGGATCTGCCTGCTCCCACGAAATAGAAGATCCCCAAGAAGCAGGTCTCATTTTTTCTGGCAGAGATTCTGGTACAGCCAGCAGGATGAAGCAGATGTCCCCGACAGCCACCAGCGTGGCCATCAGCACGACAAGGCTGTCCCCGTAGCTGGCAGACAGGTACGCTCCAATGGCAGGACTGGTCACCAAACTTGCTGCAAAGGTGGCTGATACCTGCGAAAAAACAAGTGTTGTAAGTAAGCTGCACGACAAAACTAACCAGAGGAAGGTTAAAGAGCAGCTAAGTGTCTTGTTGTTGTTGTTGTTGGGGTCTTTTTGTTGCTCTTTTACAGTTCTCAAAATAAAAGCATAACTATTCTACAGAATAAGTAAGAACACAGGCTAGAAACCTAGCTTTATAGCAATTTAGCAGGAAAAAAATAAAGAAAAGGTACAACAAACAGAAACAGATCTCATTAAAAAAAAATGCATTTTTGTCTATCGCTGCAGAGCATTTTAGATAAAGCTGTTTTTGTGAAGAAAAACTGTCTGAATGCAGGCAAATATATGCTGCAAGTATACCTATGGCCCTCTTTATATGCAGCAGAAATAAAGTGGGAATTTCAGAACTTTTATATCTGCTTTGAGCTCTGCTACAACAATACACACAAGTCCAAGAGAACTAAGTCCTTTATTTTCTTAACTGCTAAATCAGTATCTGAGTAACCGCATATCCATAAGCCTAAAAGTAAAGGGAACCCTTAAAGAGCCGAAAGTAGGATATAATCAGCCAAAAATCAATTCAGTGAATATCTGTAAAGTGAAAATAAATGCACAGAAGACAAAGGGATAAAAGATGTTCAAAGGCTAAGGGCATCTACCAACAGATCTCCAAACTCTAAACCAATATAAATACTAGGAAAGCAAACTAAGCAGGAATTATATTACTATTGAAAGTAGTAATATAGTTTGTACTAACTGAACCATTTTCCTCACCTTTTGCTAATTAAGAAAGGTCATTACTAAGTTAATAAAAATACTGCATTATGCCTTTCCATCCTTACTACCTGTTTTGACTGTAGGAAAAGACATTCTACATTTAAAAGAAGTCAAATGAACTAAAAGTGCAATTTACAGGTGATAAAGGTATGGCTGGAGGAAGCACTAAACAACCTGCACTGCCTTTAACAACACTGCATGTTCTGCTTGTGAAACCTAAGACATGCTTTGTTACACGTGCCCTCTGCGCAGGCAAAGCTGCCAAACCTTTATTCTGCTCCTCTGAGCACACAGCACCCTGCTCATCGCCTCAACTCTGTGTCTCGAGGCATGATTTTTCATTCCTTTACCAGCCTCTTTACATTAATCAGAAAACCAATCTGTGCATCAAAACACCAGCTCAACAGGGAGGTCATAATCTGACCCTTTCTGCCAGGTTTAGCACATCTTACCAGTCCATAGGCTGTAGTTCTTTCGTGCTCTTGTGTCACATCAGCTACGTAGGCAAATATGACAGAGAAGGTAACAGAAAAGATTCCGGATACCGAAATCATTGCAAAGTACCACCTGGAAATTTAAAAGCAACAATTAGGAAGTTCGAGCTAAGACCTCTTGCTTTTTATCTTACTAATAATAAGCAAGTCTGTATTTAAGCTGAAGAGAAGTGTTCCTCAAGAACTAAAACAGAGCTTTACTGGAGATGAATGTTTGTGCAGTCTCACTTAAGCACTGGAAAACAGCACCCTAATCTTTCATATTCTTCTGTTTCCTTTATATCAGCCTAAAAGAAGTGGACATGAAGGGATTTTTACACTCTCAAGTTTAAGTCAAGAAAAACAAACTATTTTAGAACTAATTCTCTCAGCCAGTTAAGGAATAAACTATCATATAATGCTGTGGAAGCTGAACTCTGAATGCATTCCATGCACATGAAGTTCTTTTGTAATCAAGCAAGTTTCACAATTAATGTAAATGAAACTGAAGTTTTAACTGAGGGGTATTGACTTTGTTTCAAAGGCCTAATCAAACAGATAGAAGATCTCATTTGCAGCAATTATACTTTTCAGTGGCTAAGAAATTTTAAGGTCCGTTTAGTTTTAAAAACATGTTTATTACTGTCAGTCATCAAGGGAAAAAAACAGGTAGATGAGCTTAAAACTGAATTAGACAGGACTATCAAATCCTTTCCAGTACTGTTTTGCTTGTGTGAATACAGTTACTAAATCACATTTCATTATTTCCTCTTTTAAGATACTCGGTTTTAACAGAAAAACCTCTTAAACAGAAAAGTTCCAGAATAACATAGTCACCTCCTGAAAGGAAAGCTGCTTTCCTGTCTTATTGCCCCTTTCCCATCTATCCAAACTACTCCTCTGATTGGATATCTGCTCTACTGACAAGTCTGTACCACTTACCAAGGGCTTATTCGCATTAATGGAATCGGGACACAGGTGAAGAAAACTGTAAGGAGAAGGAAAGATTTCCTTCCCCATGCATCTGAGAGAGCACCTATTAGTGGAGCACTGAGAAAGGACAAAAAACCCTGGGGCAGAAGAAAAACAATTAGTATGTCTATATATACATTTCCTTTAACCACTATATAAGGAAGGACTAAAATTTAAAATTGATTTGAAATTAAACACAAAGTTGTCGATAACTCAAAAAGTACACATTTTTTTCTACTATCTAGTTTTCTGTGATTCTGATGTTTTATGTTTCCAATCTATTAAACCCCAGTGAATTAAAAAAAAAAAAAAAAGTTAATTTTTTTTTCAAGATCCATTTAATTCAATATAGAAGTATCACAGACTGAAAAACCTTCTTTAACATCTCCAAAATACAGTCTAGTTCCACAAAGGACATTTTCCTAGCCTCTATAAAGAGACTTTGTGCTAGATTTCAAACCCAAGTTCCTCTCTAATGGAAGGGTCTTTTGGACTGTTCCAAAAGAGAGTTCTGGGTAACGTTAACTGTTCCCTGAAACAAATTTAAGATAGCACTTATTGCCTTATATGAAGTATTCATTGTGTATAGTCCATCTGGGCACTGCAAGAACTACGAGGATCACCTGAGCAAGCCTGGCAACTTGAAATTATGGGACACCATTATGCTATTCCAGTGGCAAAGGTCAGAGTGATGTACTGATGAAGGATCAAATACCAGATTTTTCAGCATTTCATGAAGACCTGGAATCCAGGCCTTCATCTCAAACCTGTTCAGCGTTACAGAATTAAAATAAGTGAAGGGTTTCATGAGTTTGTTAACTGCAGAACTTTAGCTTAGAAGAACATTTTCCTCCACATCAGTAAATCCTTCACTCATCAACACAACTGTGCTGTAAAATATATATATATATATATATATATAAATAAATATATATATATATATATATATATAAAATATATATATATATAAATATAAATATATATATATATATATATAAAATATATATATATATATATATATATATGTTTTATAAAATATATATATATATATATATATATATATATATATATATATATATATATATATATATATATATATATATAAATATATATATATATATATATTTATATATATATATATATATATTTACTATACATATTAGTAAATGTATAGTTCTGTACACTGGAAGTCTACTCCAGCTAACTTTAGCTCACCTCTGTTATTTAAATACAGTCACTCTCAAGTTTAAGATAAGTGTAGAGAGAACTGCAGTAAATCCCTGTTCTGCTAAGTCCTTACAAGGTAAGTGTCACCAACTACAAAAATTATTTATGTGCACACTGAGAAAGCCATTTTGTAAGTTTTTTTAGTTTTGTAAGTTCTTACGGAGAGCGCAAGTTAAGATGCAAGAACACACACAATATTTAGGTCAAAGGTTCTAAAAAGATCTTACCTTAACACCTTGAATAAGACCATTCATTAAGAATGTATGATGGGGAAATGTTTCATGTAAGACCTGACAGGAAAAAAAAAACAAAAAACAAAAAACAAACCAACATTATTTGCATTCGGAAAGACTGAGCAAAGTTGATTCCAAGTTTAAATTTGATTTGTAAAACAGGATAGCCCTACGTGAACTTGTATGTTATCCCAAAATAAAAACTAAAAAACAAATAAAAAACCCCCAAACAAACAAAAAAACCAAAGCAAGCAACAACAACAAAAAACCACAGAAAATTCTTATATTTCCTATTTCTCTTCATAAGAAGTTACTAAAATAAGAGGATCGAATGTTCTCCATCCAGCAAAAAATTATAAAATTTTTTATATAGCTAATTCCTTCAAAAGATTGACTCAAAAATTGTCAATATTTAGGAGTGAAAATGAGATTCTGTTAACTTACACTGATGAGGAAAAAAGAGCTACATATTCACAACTGAGCAATTGCAACTAGTAACCATACAATCAGAAACACTTCTGATGAACGAGCAGATACTGACAAATACTAGCAAGAGTTCTGAGTGTTTAAATACAGCTATAAATTCATTTAAGGTGCTTTACCAGCAGTCTTAATTCAAGGGCAAGAATGTTAATCTATGCTAAACAGATTTACCATAAATATGCAAGAGAGTTAAGGGGCCTCACAGGTGCTACAGGGTCGATTGAGAAAAGTTATTGAAGTGATCAAAGCAAGTATGCACACAAAATTCAAATTCGTTTGCTCTTTATTTAGAGAGATAAGTGCCACAAACTACAAAAATTATTTATATGCACACTGAGAAAGCCATTAGCCTGAAGAAACAGAATACTGCCCTGTCACTGAGAAGTGTCAGCATCGTTTTTCAGGGATGACTGGGATTCTCAAATCATACGCTTAATAAAGGTGGTGGTTCTCATATTAACTACCGCTTGGATAATTCTTCTCATTTATACTCCTTTTACCTTCTGGTGCCATCTTTTGGTTAGACATTTAAAACAATTTTTCACCTGTTAGATCACCTATCTGATTATATGAATGGAAGAAAAAAGTCAGGGTTCAAATTAGAAATCCAAAAGCAGATGCCTTTTAAGTTAAAAAAAGAGCAGGAAACTCAGAGTTGTTTACTAATCTAATTATCTTTCTCTGAGGTGTTTTTTCCTGGAAGGCAACCACTGCTGATATTGGTTTGAGTTTTTGAGATTAATTTCTGTTACTTTATAGGCTAGAGAAATGCAAGTTGACAAACTGGTAGAGGGAACTGCTTTACTCAAGTTCTACCAACAGATACATATTAAAAAAAAAAAAATTATATTGAAGACAGAACATGTCAGTAAGTGATTAATATTGCTTATGGTGATTTACTAACACTGGTTTAGTACATAAATAAATGTAATGGGCATAAGCTTCGGGCAGCTTTTTGACCAAAAGGGCCTTTTTGTGCTTTATAAACACCTTAAATCTTTTCTTCTCCAAATACAGTGTCATGTAACAAACAGTACAGCTTTGCCGACAGATGTCAAAAGAAGTGACAAAGCAATTTAAAAAATTAAATAATCTCAGTTATCGTAGAATACATGCAATTTCTTTTCATAGTACACAACATTTTAATAAGATCGAATGCTGACAATGACCTGGAGAACCACGACAAAACCACGTAAAATTTGGGTGATCATGAGCTTTGATCAACAGGCCAGGCACTTCCATTTCTGCCTCCCCTGTCAGACAAACCTGACTGAGCAAAAGTGGACAGCTGGCACTGTTCAAAGGCTGAACCCAGCTCATAAGAAATCTCTGCATGACTCCTGGTACGGTTGGCTGATAAGCAGGCCAAGGTAAGTTAACGTAAGTATGTCAGAAGACAAGAGGGTGCAAAGTATCAAACCAGACCTGAAATTATTTAAACCAAACAGCAGCCTTTCAGTGAGTGCAAAGCTGAATACAAACAAAGAAATAATTTCTGCTTTACAGAAATGTGTTAACTGTTTATATAGACTTTTTTATTATCAAGCTGTGTTTAAAAGTTCAGTGATTGTCTTTAGAAAGGTTAGACAAACACGCTTCAAGAGTTACGCAGATTATTTTGTTTGAGGTTTGGGGAAGAAAAATAATTGTCACTTTCAATCCCACAAAACTTCGCTTGCCACATCTTCAAAGTGCTCTCAGGTATTCACTGATGAAAACCTGGATTAATAGAGTTTTAATGGCTTCTCCCTGGCAGGCCCAATTTCAGGGAATGAGATGCATGTCTTAGGATGAAACGGCTCATATCCTATTACCAAACACAAATTATGTGTTTATCTGGACAACAACGTGGTTCCAGAACAGATGAAATACTTATGAAATCCATGTCTTACATGAATGTCTTTACATTTCACTTTCAGTTACTTGCTGGTAACACAGCCAGACTACAACATCGAACACAGTTAACTACGGGTTGCATAATTTATTCAGTTGTCACACCGGGAGATGAACTGAACTATTAAAAAAACAGAATTTCCAGAGATATTTTCGTCAACAAACGAAACTGATGTTACTCTAAAGGGCAAGGAAAGAGCAGGATAGCATATTACTAATTTATTTTTCATTACCTTTCAGTCTATCAGCAGTCCAGATCTCAGCTGTAAGATACTAACTACTGCACAGTGTTGAATGCTAAGACTTCTGGAATTCAAGTAACGAGACAGGCAAGAAATGTAAAACAAATTAAAACCCAAACCCCTAGGAACTGGAATATTAGCACTTGCCATTACTGGCCAGGTAACAGTTGATGAATTGATACTTACTGTTAGCATTGGAGTTGTCAAGAGCCCCCAGGCAAAGAATTCCAGAAATATGACCACCACCGCATGATACACGCTTGGCCGGCCAACACCTTGCTGCTAAGAGAGAAAAACACAAGCAGTGGTTGTACACATCCAGCTCATTACACTTGCAAACATCTCCTACATTTTGAGCATAACCAGTTTTCAGGATGGCCTACAAACCACGCCCTTGGAAATGACAGTAAGCCAAAAGAGGGAGGAGAAAAGCTACTACAAAGCAAATAAAAGATCTCCAGGGAACTCGGAAACGTTTGTTCCCTCAAATTCTTGCCGATTGAACAGAGTTATTTGCTCTGTTCCTGACACTGCCTGTACTGCTCTCACCTCCAGCATGCCATTAGGCTTCCTTCCCCTTGAGCATCGTTCACAACCCTTCCAGTGCTCTGTGACAAACGGTACACCTCTCCTGCTACCTCCACCAGTGACAACAAAGCAGATCCACTTTATGAAGACTGAAGTGCTGTTTCACCAAAACTATGGCTATGTACAAAATCAGAAGAGCAATAGTTTTTGTATTTGAAAATGCCAAAGTATGAGAAAATAAAGGGCTACTTATGCCAAAGACTGAGGAGCTATTTTACTGGCCAACAATCCCAGAAAGAATTACCAAACTGTTGAAGCGCTCATGATTCTGTGAAGCTGCTGCCATTCAAGATTCAAAGACTGGATCCCAGACGAAACATCTGGAACATTTTTATTTCGATAAAACGGGCAGAACCCTTGGGTAAAGCACATTTAAGCAGAACTGCTGCTTTCTTTCTTTCTTCCCCAAGCAGACTCAAGCAGAACTGCTGAACAATCCAGTGGCTTTCAATGGAGTGACAGCAACAGCTCACAAGGGGAGACGGACAGACGTCATCGACCTAGACCTCTGTAAAGGCTTTTGACACAGTGCCACACAACACCCTTATCTCCAAACTGGTGACACATGGATTTAAGGCATGACCTATTCCATGGATAAGGATGGATGCACCAGAGAGCTGTGGTGCATGGCTCTATGTCCCTATGGAGGAACTGGTGTCCCTCAGGGCTCCATCTCAGGACTGGCACCCTTTAATATCTTCATCAGTGACACAGACTGTGAGATGGAGACCAGTGCAGCTGACACAACAGAAGGAAGGGATGCCATCCAGAGGGACCTGGACGAACTTGAGAAGTGGGATCACATGAACCTCATGAAGTTTATCAAGTCCAGGTGTAAGGTGCTGCACCTGGGTCAGGGCAATCCCAGGTAAGAACGCGCTTTGGAGAAGAAGTCACTGAGAGCAGCCCTGCAAGGAAGGACTTGGGGTTCTCACGGCTGAGGGGCTGGACACGAGCTGGCAATATCCACTCACAGCCCAGAAGACCAACTGCACCCTGGGCCGCATCAAAAGAGGAGTGGTCAGCAGGTCAAGGACGGGATTTCTGACCCTCTACTCTGCCCTCGTGAGACCCCTCCAGGAGCACTGCGTCCAGCTCTGGGGTCCTCAGCACAACAACACTCTGGGTCCAGAGGAGGGACACAAATATGAGGAGCACCTATCCCACAACAACAGGCTGAAAGAGCTGGGGTTCTTCAAACTCCAAGAGGAGAAGAGAAGGCTCCAGAGAGACCTCACTGTGGCCTTTCAATACCTGAACGAGTCTTATAAAAAAGAGGAAGAGTGACTTTTTACACAGGCAAAAAGTGACAGGACAAGGTCAAGCGATTTTAAATTAAAGGAGGAGAGACTGAGATTAGATGTTAGGCAGAAATTCTTTACTCAAAGAGCAATGAGGCACTGAACAGGCTGCCCATAGAAGATGTGGATGCCTCATACTTAGAAGTGTTCAAGGCCAGGTTGGATGAGATCCTAAGCAACCTATCTAGTGGGTTTAATCTCTGCCCATCGTGGAGAGGTTGGAACTAGATGATCCTTAAGGTTCCTTCCAACCCAAAGCTTTCTATGATTCTTTCATTTCTATCTTCCCATTGCCAGAGTAGCTGTTTTACATAGGTTTTGTGTTCTTAAATTACTTTTTCCCTTTCCCCTAAGGAAAAAAAATCGTTCTTCAGTGTTTCCACCTATTCCAAAGCCGCAAAAAAATCGTTCTTCAGTGTTTCCACCTATTCCAAAGCCACAACATTCCAACAGGATTTGGCAGTTCTTAGAAAGGAGCAGTACAAGATTCTCATCTAATACTACCACAGATACTTGAGGTTTACTCAAAATACAAAAGAACATGTCTTTTGCTGTGCAACATAATAATTCAGACATCATCCAGTGACAAGTATCAACCAGACTCTCATTTCAGCAGTTGGAGAGTAGGGAGAGAACGAAACTCAGGGTCTTCCACTGAATCTCAAAGAAGTCAAGACAGATTATGATGAAGGAGGAGCAGAGACACCTTTGGAGTTTCTTCCCTACTCAGCAATGTTTATCCAAATTGGTAGAATTCACAGGTTCAGAAAATGCTTGTATTACAAGATTCATTTCAGCTAACAGCGTATAGCAAAAAAAAATTTAAAGAAATCCCTATTGCCCAAACAGTCTAAATGCCTAGATCTCTAATAATCTTTAGAGCTATCAGAGTTTATCAAAACCTGTGGCAGCAGTGTATCCTACCTAATAAAATTCAATTTATTTTCTACATTGCAGCTTGCTTCAAACTGTGAGGATTTGAAGAGAACAGTTTTCTTTCTCCTGGAAAATAATATGATATGCATAAAAGATTACCTCTGAGAGGCCGATAACTTTCAAGCATTATTAACATTTCTCCACAGATTACCATGCAGTTTTAAATCTCTAAATAACAAAGATTCCAAAGATTATGAGGGTAAAAAATTCTTCCTCATATAAGTCTGCAAGTACTTCTATACAACGTAACAGGACAACAATTTTAAGAGTATTTTTTTGACAATATGTATGTCAGTCTGACTAGCACTTAACACTGATTACACTGAAGTCTAAAGATCCCTTCCACAGTGCTTTCCTCTGGAGAAGGCAAATTTTATAGTATGGAGTAGGTAAGGGACTCCCTGGACTTTCTCCTGCCTCTACTTCTCTCACACCCTTATATCACTAAGCATGATGTTGGGCCATAAACATCTGGTCCGTATTCAGCAAACATTTTTAATGCCACTAATAACAAAGTTTTGGTCTGTTTGTGGGTTTTTTAATAATGTTATTACATGCACATTTGAGTTGAGGTTTACATGATCTAACAGAAAGATGATGTACACACATACTGAGAAGGACATGAATCTTTTTTCCTCAGAAGTCATTTAAAAAAGTATTTTTGTTTCTCTGGGCCTCAATGAATCTTTCTTGAAGATCAAAACAGTCTGCAAATCATTTCTGGCAGCAACCACTCAGCTTACAGCTGGCTGCATTGAACTACTTAAAAAAAAAAAACAAACACAAAAACAAAAACATAGAAATCACCTTTTGGTGAAGCTTATCATAAAAGCTTCCAAATTTTAATCAAGTATCAAATTCTTTTTAAGAAAGAAAAAAGTTTATGACTGATCGCGTACACAGCCTGGTTCACAGATTTTAAAAAAAAGCAACAAAAACTCTTCACACATTTCAAACTCAAAGAGCCTTCTGAAAACACTTCACACCTGCCTTTAGCACGAAGCTATATCAGAAGTAGTGGGTGTGTCTCATTTCTACAGTAAGAAAACACTCTGCAACACAACTGCCTGCAATTTACATAAAGAACTTTGAGCACGCAAAAAAAAAAAATCGTTATAAACTTGAACCACAAAGATCTTGAGGCATCTTGAACTTAACGATATGGGAACAACCTATAGAATTCCTCATGATTAAAAAGATATTAAAAGGATTTCAGAAATAGCAAAGATATGGTCAACATACAAGTTGCTTGCCTCATCCTCCACCCTCAAAATCGAAAGTGCCTTTTTTTTAAATTAGGTGCCCTCAAGAAAGCCTTAAAATCCGTTCTGGTTTTATTTTCTGTGCACCTGGATCATCTCCGTATGACAGACCAGTGTTCTGGCAGAGAAACTACGTATAAACATTACAATTGCTTTCAAATGCAGCTGTTGGTCAAGCTTTTATACTTGCATAGTCAATAATGAGCAAAACATTACTTAACCTCAAATGCTTAACAATACAAGTTTAAGGCCATCTGTATAAAATCTGAAGTCCTAAAGGTTCTAACAAAAGACCTATTATTTCTCCACTTTTACATTTTTGTTCCTTTTATGCCTCTTTTCACTACCCAATTCTAAAAAAGATCCAGAACAACATTTTTATTTCTGCCATTACTGAGTCAGAATAAACCCAAAAGTTAATCTGAAGGTAACATGGAAAACTACTGGGAGGCAATACAATTTTTATTTTCTAAGCCAAACAGCTGTTGGACATTAATAAATCCATGAGAGGATGTCAAAATCATAAATCCAGCTGGCAAGAACTGCTAATAGGAGAGGGGGAAAAACACAATATAGTATCAGTAAGAATGCCTTATCTTAGACCTTCTGAAGAACACCTAGTACAATTCATCCTAAAATACTCAACAGCAACACGCAATCTTATAGCCAGTCCCAGATCTCTGGAGCAAAGTTAGAATTGACAGTATTCATTTATTCACACATTTTTAAGTAACTATTTATCTGTTGATTTAAATCTGTAATTTAATTATTAAAATTTTTAGAACGGTTGCAAAAGCACCATAACATGAATTTCAAACATGCTTAATTGTTTGTGTCTCTTAAGAAATATGCTTATTTCAGGAAAAAAAAAAAAACAAAATCACTTCTCACTGTTAAAATACTGAAGTCCTCTAGAGTACCCTTTCAAACTTTTCATATTTTGATGAAGGCCATATAGTCTTGCCAAGCAAATTAAGCAAAACATTCAGTTGCATAAATACAGCACGCTTTTTTTTTTGCTTCCATGTGCGTGAAGCAGCAGAGCCCCCTGCCCACAAAGCTGGGCACAAGTTCTCCATCCTCGAAGGGTTTGTTTCAATATTCACCTGGAAAAGCCCTAGGCAACCTGCTCAGGCCTCGAAGCTGACCCTGTCCTGAAGGGGAAGGGATCTCCCTGAAGTACCTTTAGAGTCGA